CCAGCACAATCAGCAAAATGATACATACCAGCACAATCAGTAAAATGATGAGTATAAAAAAAAAATGAGGAAACACTGTGACTGATCGAAAGGTGTTGGAGTGAGCCAGAAAAATGACATCAATTATTAATTCGGTATTCTTGATAAAAAAATACAAATGATTTGGAAACACGTTTTATTGTTGTCAATGTCATGCATGGTAATGAATCACATCACGAAGTTCCCCATGGCCATTCTGTGCATCCTTTGTGGCCCCATATGATCAATAACATCCCAGAAAGCAGAGAAATTAGAGCATGGCTGTTCCCATCCATCGAATGAGTGCCATGACGCCGAAGACAGCCAATCGAACCTCATCCTGCTACAAAGGACGGCCGTGAAGGCGCAACCTTTCACACCTAATTCATGTTAGCCAGCCGGGCATCGATCTGGGTGAGCCTGTCTATCCAGAAGAGGCCATTCGCAGCGACTACGTGGCAATTTCCCGCGGAATCTCCCCTTCCGTCGTTTAGTGGGCTCTTTTGTTGGCGGAGCTCCCATCGATCGCCAATCTATTCAGCCGCCGTCGGGCCGCACCAAATTGCCGCTAACGTCCGTGTCGGCGGTGTCGGCTTCGACGGTACATGGTAGCGCGGGCCAAAAATTAGCCCGAGTTAGCAGAGTGCTGTAACAGACGAGTTCCTGATAGAGTGGTGTGCAAGTCACCTATGAATGGTTAGCGAGGAACAAGTGTCATTTCAATGCTGAACTATATTGTATTAAATATAGTCATGTGTCATAGCAGTTTCATGACATACGCAATTCAAATGCGTGTGTGTGAACAGGTCAACCGATATCGGGAAATTGGATATCGAAGCTAGTGGTGAAATTGTTAAGTTAAGAATTTATAAGTGAAATAATAACTCAAACAAATTCGTATGCTGGTAGTGTACGTCGCCCATCTACTGCATACAAAGCGCAAGTACCTACCCACGTTTTATACCGTCTTTGTATGTAACCCGTGGGAGACGGAGAAACTTTATTTCAGATGAAGCCCGTCCGTGCCTTATTGACTATTGCAGATCTCTGGACGCGGCCGAAACTCCATTCCCGACTTCAGCCCACGTACTAGGCATCATATTTGGCGCGGCAACTCCGGCCAAACTCGATTTATCAAATGAAACTCGGCTGCAGTCGACACATCAATGGTAAAAAGGCACATCAGGAGGGCCTTAGAGGCGCCGAGGGCGGGAAATTCCCGTATTCGAGTCTGAATGAAGTGGAAATAAATGCAGAGCGTGGTATATGGCCGCGCGTCGACCAGCCGTGTAATCTAAATGCAAATCCACGAGGGATAAAGGTGGCAACTGGCCAGATTTTGCGGGACTCTGCGTCTGGGTGTGCTCCGCACGGAGATGAAGCTGTGCCGGCGCTGCGGAGTCGGCCGGCCCTATCCCCTGCACCACCGACAGCTCGGAATATTTTCCCGGTGACAAACGGCCGCCCGCCGGGTGCGCCCATGAATAATGCCAGCCCCGCTCGTGCGAGTGGCAACTTCATCGGACCACTCGAAAGAAGTTCTCGGTGCTCTCTCTTAGGAATAGCAACTCCGCGGCGCAGTCTTCCATCGCCCCCGTCGTCGGTCGGCTGTTTGGTCGGCGGTGGGTGCTATATCTGGAAGCTAATGCATTTATACGAGACTATTTCCAGACCCAATTTTGGTAATTGATCACCTTGCTCACCTATATAAGACGCCGAGAAAACATCTCAATTGAGTTACAAGTATGAATTGGCGCTGGAGAGATGCTCCGCATTCACCCAATTGCCACTTTTGCAGTTGTTTATTACGCGAGACCTGCCTTTACGCCGATACACTAAATAAAAAGAATTCCTGATGTGAATGGAAGTAACAAGCCTCTCATCAGTCAGCTTATTCCTTTTTAACGCAAATCGGAAAATTTAACTGATGCATAATGACCGCAGTTCTAGGGTTACATTACATGTCAAGCTATACGGGTAAGTTTTGTTAGCGGGAAGAATCAACATTGAAAGATAAATACGATCACCCATGATTTAATGCAGTCTGATGCCACGGAGAAGTTATAAATATAGCATTATAGCAAAGACAATGCGAAATAAATAAAACAAATGTTTTATTTTGCCTAATCGTTTTTTTTTTAATTCCAAACTTTCCGGACTACTAAAGCTTTTCTATCCGTCTTTTCTATCCGTCCCAGCCGAACCCAGTCCTTTTAATCAATCAAACAAATACCGTCTTGGAATTTAATTATCCCTGGCTTCTATGTGTCACAAAGTTCATGTAATAGGCCTCCGCAACAAACTTGTCGCATGGCTTTGTGCTAAGTTGCCCGTCAAGTTGGCCGCTCGCTCCGGGAGACTCCGGTCGCGACGGTGCGCCACCCGGGCCGCCCCCCCCCCCCCCCCCTCCCAGTCGCCCAGAGCGGCCCAACTTTCCGGCGATGTGCAAAGTTGGACGGGACAAATTTCATTTGGACCCGCGAGGTCTGCCGTCGTCTATTGATCTGCAATGTACTGGCATTCGGTTTCCGGTGTTCTCCAATTGGGCGAGAAGGAAGAGAAAAAAAGTGAACAACGGTAGGCCAAACACAGAAATAATCAACCATGCCGTAGGGGAAGTTGGGGCAATGCCGGAGTTGGAGCAAAGCCGAAATTCGAGATATTTCGAAAACTGTAAGACATGGATGCCACCTGTCAGTGATGCTCTGAAGCTTAAGTAACTACAATTATCGCATGTTTGTTACGAGTCGTCATTCGGAATACTTCGGCTGTGAGGGCGCCAAGAGCGTTTTCAAGGTACGCGTTCCTTATACTACATGCGCCTTTGAAGCTGCATTTCTTACTCATTATGCTACCGTTTGTCTGGCCAATTCGGTCAAGTAATCTTCAGCATGTCTTTGCAAAAGTGTGCTGCCTATTTGAAATTTATACGGCACGTTGAAAAGTTATGGGCCTGCAAATGAAAGTATGGCTGGCTGGGGTAATGCCGAAAACGTGCAATTACGCACGTTAACACGCTACGTGGACTTTACTGCTGTAGAATAGCAACGCGAATTTTTAGTCACACAAGCTACACTTTCAACCGACACAACGGCCTGTTACCTATAAGGAATTATTTACCTGGCATTTTCTTATTATATCACACAATTATAACTTCCAGTGTGCTCCAAGCGTCCTCAAGCTCTTAAAACGCGTGTCAGCTTTGATAAATTCTGGATAAAGTTTGAGATAATGTGGCAAAACATCAATGTCGGCATTCCCCGTAGATCATTTCTCCCATTTTCGGCTTTCCCCGCAGTCCGGGGCAACACCGAAAAAGTCACTTCTTTGATATTTTTAGTTTGTGCGCTTAACGGTATGCGAATTCATCAAATGCGCCTGGTATGTTTGAAAGGCAAAAGACTGGCCTCTCGAATGACGCCAACAAGAATAGCTTATGTTGTCTACCTTGCGTGCTACGGGCGTCAGAAAAAAAGTATTCGGCGTTCCCCCAACTTCCCCTAATATGTAAATAGTTAATCATCCTCTCGCCCATTCATGGTGCAGGAGACTCTAGACTGTTTTTGTCAAAACAATCTTATACCCACGCCTTTGCTGTTAGAAAAAGCAATCAATGCACGCTGTGATCAATTATATTGATATATTTGCCTAACTCTTCTTCCATCACACTTGTCAAATTTGGTTTATGTTCGCCCTTCCTCCTCCTTCCATAAGCCATCTCTATTGTCCAAATTGTTCACATGTATAGACGATGCTCAGAGATAATCTGTGAAGTACTAAAACTAGCAAGACGCGTTCCTTCAGCACCTTGTGAAAGAAGTTTTAGAGATTATCGTAATCTAATATCAAACTGCAATGATTAATCGGATGGCAAGGAACACACTATCTCTTTTATGAGAAAATCCTTCACCACAAACCAAGAAAAGAACACTAAAAAACGGAAATAGACAAATAAACAAATCGAGAACATGCACTACGCTGATCGGATGAGACACTCACTAGACCGAAATCAGACAACTCCTCCAACCACGCTCAGAACTCAGAAGTATCCTTAATCGAAATCAGACAACTCCCGTGGCCGAGATCAAGCCACTCTGCCGCGACCTATCCCGCGAGCGGACCCGCAGCGGAAACGGCGACCGACGGTGCTCGGAACAGAACCTTTTACACTAATGAAGCCGCCGTCACGAGAGGCCAGCAGACGGCGCCCCATTACGCTCAAGTGCGGCCGCTCGGCCGGACGGACGGCTGTGCCGGGCGCGGCGCCCTCCGGTCGAGGGTGACCGGACCAAAACTGGCCGCCGGTCATCTGGCGCCGACACGAGCCGACAGCGCCCCCGGCGGTCGGGCAGAGCGGGGGAGGGGGGTTCCGGTCAGGGGCGCCGAGGTCAGGACGGCTGACGCGGCAGACGTGGACCACTGTCGACCGGGTAATTTTGCTAATGGTCATGTGTCACTGCGGGCACCAGGGAGATGGTTATTGGGTATGCCAATCCGTACCCTCACAAATGCATTGGTGATTGATTTAAACAGAAATTCAATGGCCTGTAAATGAGTACTATTTACAAGGTGTTATGCACCAACAAAATGTCTAGAGAAGCTCGCATGCAATGAAACAGCTTCTACGGCGACAGCGGCAACTTGTGATGGCTCGTAGAAATCCTCAGCCAGCAAGCGACGTAACGCGATTTAAATACCACTTCCATGAAATGCGACGTAATTGAGAGTGAGTAAGCCGTTGCTTCTCCAAGACCACTTGTCTGCGGGCAATATGTGATCAATGGGTGGAACAACTCGCCAGGCACATAGGAGCACCTGTGCCCGGTCAGTGTCAGGCCAGGTCACCGGTCAGCGGGTCCGGGACTCCGCCCACCTGTTGCCGGTCGGTGTCCGTCGGAGCCGACGGGGGCGCTGTCGTCGGCGCCGTCGGGACCGACACTGAGCCGCCGGCGGTACCGACGGCTCAGTCAGCGGCGGCGGCGGGCGGCGGGCGGCGGCAGCGATGGCCGCGCCCCGGGCGGCGCCGGCGGCGGCCGCGAGTCAGCTGTGGAGGCGACTCTGGAGGCACCCCGCCTGCGCCAGCGGCCTGCTGGCGGTGCTGTGCTACATCAACACGCTGCAGGCAGACTTCGTCTACGATGACACGTAAGTGGCAGTCGTAGATGGCAACGCTGTTTGCAGTCACACACGTGGTAGCCCAAACCAGTTCCAGTTTTGACGTGGATGACCCCGGTCTAGCCAATTTGCATCGTGCTTGCCGTTTAACACCTAAACTTGGAAGAACTTGAGTGTTATAATGAAGTGCTGTATGAGAAAATGCCCACCTACGCCTCTGATCAGCAACGAACTTCCCTTAAAAACTTGTTCTACAAACATACATTGAGCGTTGTGCAATGCGAGCGGCAACCAAAGCTGAGATGGGTGTTTCAAGGAGCTGCAAACTTGATTGGCAATAATATCATTACATGAAAATGGTCTAGAGCTTGCTAAGTGCATGCCATTTTCTCGTCGTTTTCCAAGCTGGCCGGTCTAATATTATCGTCTGGATTGCCGAGGATCATTTCAAATACATAAGCTCAGTAATTTGGCGAAAATGTACGTGTCTATTCACCAGCCAGAATAACTATCAGCCATGATGTGCTTTAGCGTGGGTCACATAGCTTCTAACAAATCCGGTGTAATGGCTCTAGCAAAGGATTAATGATACGCTTGCCTGATAATATGCTCCAAAAGACAGCCAGGAATGAATAATGGCAGCAAACAATGTGTTGTTCACGCTCGAAGATGTCCCTACATTACCATCACAAAAGAAATATAAATTAATGAAATTGATGATGCTGCGAGGTCAGACATCATCACTTACTTTTCATTTGCACATGCACGCTTCATAGTGCATGCTTTTTATCGATAAATGCATGCTTCTTTTCGCCATGGGGAAAGATCCACAACACTTTTTATGAATGCACATTGCACAATGCACATTTATCTATGTGCTCAATATTCATCTTCTACCCAAAAGGCAAAAGCTGCCACTCTCCATTTGGCACTGGTCTCGTTCTTGCTTTTACTATTCAGAAGCATATCCCATCGTTAATGTATTTTTAACAAATGTATTCTCCTCTTATCCACGGCTTAGCTTTTAGCCTTACCGGGAAGGCTAAGCATTTGTCGGCGGAACAATTTCATTAGATATTCCCATACCAGCCGTGTCGCCGCACTAAGCGCCGGTCGCTATCATGCAAATGAGAACAGGGAGGCAAATCCCATCCATTCTGGGCGACACTAGCGCGCGTCCCAGTGGCACGCTGTGATAAACACGACCGGCACCGCGCGCGCCACGCCAGCGGCGACTCGGCAATGACGCGGAAACGCGGACCAACTGTCCAGGGCGTACGCACTAGGGTGTAATAGCGGTGAAGAAGAATACACGGTGTAATACGTTCTCGGCTAACGCAATATTGGTGGAAAAGCGAACAAATGGAATGTAACTCCAAAAGAATCTGTAGCATTCCACCAGGTAAGGCTGATGTGATGTTGCAAAAGTGAGGAGCATTCCGTGGCATGACGCTCGCTTGCTGCTTGAGTGTATCACAATAGCGTACGAGCCAATAATATTGTTTCGCAGACAGAGGCAACATTTCCCGCTTAACTCCTATCATCGTCGCATGTTGACAACAACAAGATAACGGAAAATAAAGCAAGGACTATATTGATGGTTTGACTTCCAACAAATCCTGTTTTTAACATCCCTAGACTTTTACCACCTAAGTTGTTTCGACTGTTTTTAAAACATCATATCTCATCGACAAGTAAAGCAACAGTCCTAGCCCAACTTGGGCTAGGGATGAAGTGTTTGATGTGTTTGCATCTGTTTCTGGCTTATATGACGGTCATTAGCCGAAAAGGAAAAGTCGCTCTCAGAGCCAATTGAAGCAATGCAGTTTTTCTCTGTTAGGTATAGGTGCATTGTAAAATGACAGAGTACTTACAAAAGTCAGTTCCTCCCGCCTGAGAAAAGGCAGTTTTCACTGGTAGGGTTTTAAATGTGTTGTCTTCCACCACTGTTAAAATATGTATGATGGCACGCCGTGCTCAACGAGTTGGCGGAACTTTATGCTTGTTTTACCGTTGTTCAAAAAGTTGAGAAGGGCCAGTTGCAAAATAAAGGATATTCAGCTAAACTGCAATGAGAAAAAAATCGCTTTCAGTGATGATAAAGAAGGAATTATGATTTTGATTCGCTTCATATCCAAACAGACAAGTGTGCAAATGTGTCACTTGAATCAAACCAAAACCCAAGTTGTGCGTAAGCAATGAAAGGAAGTAAGATCAGTTGGCTGTCGCCTGTCACCCACAAGAGCCACTTCAAGTGCATCAAGTGCCACTGCCAGCATATATGAAACCTAATAAAGGACTTCCGCTAAGTGAGTAATGAAATCTGCTCTGGTCGCTGATTAAATTCCGACTCATGCAAGGCTGCACCTATCAGTGACCGGTGGGTCGGTGAGCCGACGGCCGCTGATCCCTTCCAGTCGCTTGATTACCACCCGGTCCGGATTCAGAGCTCCGAGAACCCTGTCGCCGTTGTGTGTGAGAGCACCACCCCTGGACGGCCCTGTCGTCTCCGGCGGCCACCCGCGGCGGGATGGTTCCGGCCGAGACAGCCGACCCGTGCGGCACAGCCGGCGCGGCAAGGCGACGGGCCGGCGGGCGACGGGCGACGGGCGACGGGCCGGAGACGGTGGAGCAGGGTGAAATAGAGTCTGGCTCGGAAGATAGGTGGTGGCTGGTCTGTCAGTGACGATTGGCCAGATAAGACCAGTGTGAGGGATTAGGCGGGTAGCGATATGAGGAGAAATGAAGACGATCGGTTCACAAGACTCGATGTGGAAGGAAGGGGGATGGAGAGAGAGAGAGAGGGGGGGAGAGATAGAAAGAGGAAGAGAGAGAGAGAGAAAGAGAGAAGAGAGGGCGAGAGATAGAGAGAGGAAGAGAGAGAGAGAGAGAGAGAGAGAGAGAGAGAGAGAGAGAGAGAGAGAGAGAGAGAGAGAGAGAGAGAGAGAGAGAGAGAGAGAGAGAGAGAGAGAGACTAGAAAGAGAGAGAGCGAGAGAGGGGCGCTTTGCGCTTCTTGATCTGATGTAGCCCGTTAGCATCGAATCACACTCGAGCGTCTGAAAATTACTTTAGCCATGGTTTGATCTTGGATTCGTAGTCCAGTCTTGCACCAGTCCTGCCACGTACTTTATGAACCTTTACCGTAAGATGAGGAAGTGTTGGGTAAATGCTTCATACCTTCTGAGAATCTTTCAGGAAATCATCTATTTCACGGATGGACTTGACTTCACAAGGTTAAATCACGAGTAATAACCGCTAATCGAAAGGACCATTTTCCCTCCCCGAATGTGATTGAGCGGCCTGAGCTGAGAGCAAAACAGGATGTATTTCATCGTGGTACGAGAGGGTTCGTTTTAGAGGTCGCGCCGCCAAATGCATTTTGAGTAGTAAGAAGAAAGGGTTATCTGGGAGCCGACATTGGAGAAATGGAGGGAAGGTGGTGATTGCTTCCATAGACTCGTGATGACACCGAGCTTGTGAGAAACGCTGCTGGTCCTTCTCCTGAACTACAAAGCTCAGAGTCCATGATTTATGAGAAGCGCATTAACGGATTTTTTTAGACGTAAGAAAGGATTAAAGGTAGTGTGCCAGCTTTGCTGGACCGTATGGAGTTAATGGCCCAGATAAGGAGAACCGGATTTTTAGAACTTATCCATACCTTCAAAACTCATGGAAACGTCTTAAATTCTTCAAATTTTGAGTACCCCAGTGCGAAATTTGCCCCGACGGGTTGTCGGTCGTACCCCAACCACATTTCACACCACTATGAACAATAAATGCACACACTGAAATCGCTATTACCGATATGTTCATCCAATCAAGTTTCGATAAACCCGTTCATCATCATCTCCTGCGGTTTCGAACACGCCTGTTAGGTGGTGCGGTAGACCGCGCCCAAAGCCAGGGCCCCGGTAACGTGAGGTAGCCGAGTCGGGGCAGCGTGCGCTGACCCAAGCCGGGGCCGCGCGTCCTCCCGGTGTCATGTGATAGCCCGGGGCTGCCCGCGGGGATGCGGTAGACCGCGCCCAAAGCTGCGGCCCCGGCTTGGGTCAGCGCACGCTGCCCCGACTCGGCTACCTCACGTTACCGGGGCCCTGGCTTTGGGCGCGGCTTCTGCTCATACTTTGTGGTGCGGTGGTGGTGCGTCGGGCCGCGCGCTCTCACTTTGGCCAAGAAAAATGCGTCAGCTGATCATTGTCATTTCTGCCACTTGCGTGTGGTGAAATGGGGTCATAACTTAAGAGATGGCTTTTTCATATCAATTATTTTACATAAAATCATATTTCAAACCATAAATAATGTTCGACAGACAAATAAAAGAACCAACACCAATACAGGCTTACAGTTTAAGGCTCGACATTGTGTTGTCTACGATTAGACAGCTGATAACTCATTCCCGTACGTCGTAACTCTATAATGACCTTTGCTTATTGTCACATGTGCGCCGCATTCGCGATTGTTGCCGACGCCTGTTTGCAGCTCAGCCCACTTCAGTTGTTATACATATCGAAAAACCGATAAACTTTTAGGCGAAAAAGGCACTATTCCAGGCCCATTTTTGATTTCTTTTGCGATATTAGGTAAAAACAGAAGCTTCTTATCCTAGGAAAAATAAAATGGGAAATCTTTCAAAGGTGGCACACTACATACCTTTAAGGATGAAGATGGGAACAGCAGGTAAGGGCTGCGCTAGCCTATAGAACTATGTGAGTCACACAATGTCCGATGGGACTGGCGTGCCGATACCGGGAACACCGTACAGACTTCGACGCGGATTTCCTGGCGGACAATCCTGGCACCTTCCGCGAACTAGTACCCGGACCCGCGGGACCAAAGTCCCGGCAGATCACGATGATCGGAGTGACGGATCAGGGGTGCCTGTGGACCTGTGTCCACAGGGATCATACCCCTGGCGGCGGCGAGTAGTCTGCTGAGAGCGTGCGTGACCGGGCCCGCTACTGCCGGATCTGGGCTCGTGTCTGACGGGCTCTGATGAGGCGCGGCGCCCGCGCACGGTCTCCTGTGAAGT